TTTACAAGCACGAACAGGTACTAAAAATGTCCTTTGATTTATTTTTTTTTAAGCCAATAAAGTTAGTTTTCAAAAATAAATACTGAAAATTTTCAAGGATATTAAAGCATACAATTTTAAAAGGACATTTATGCACCAAATTTTTTTTTTTTAAATTTTATCGAGCTTTCTTTTTTATTTGACACCCATTTTGTTGTTGCACTGGAATTTTGAAATAATTTTTGAATTAAACCCCCTTTCTTCTGATATGCATATTTGTATACTTCGTATATAAGATTTAAAAAAAAAAGAAAAAAAACATATTTAAAGGACAAAATACCTTTTTTATAAAAAAGAGTATTTTAGACAAAAAAAATTCTAACCGATTTTTAAAAAATTGGTATCGCTGTAAAGGCGATTAAATCCCTTTCTTCTGAAATGCATATTTGTATACTTCGTTTATAAAAAATTGAGAAAACCACATTTAAAGGAAAAAATAACTTTTTTATAAAAAAAAAAATGTTTTAAACAAAAAAAATACCAACAGATTTTTAATCAATTGGTACCGTTTATTTACCGGTGATTAAACCGCGTTTCTTCTGATATACATATCTGTATATAAAAATTTGACACTTAAAAAGAAAAATACCATTTTTTTCATATAAAAAATAGTAAAAAAATACTAGTTAGTTGTACAATTGAATACTTTACTTAAATAAAACAGAAAATTACCTTTAATTTTTATATACAACCTGTTATGTAAAAATTCAAAAACCATGGTGTTTTTATATTTTTATTGCTTTATTTTTAACAGGGCTGTCGGTGAACAAGAACGAATTGATGCTTAAAACCCTATTAATTGTTTGTTTTATTTATTGGTATTTTTTCCTTTTAAGTGTTTTTTCTTAAATTTTTATAAAGGGGGTTTAGTCTCCTTTACAACGATACCAATTTTTTTAGAATCGGTTAATAATTTTTTTGTTAAAAATATTTTTTTTTATGCAAAAAAGTGTATTTTTTCATTTAAATTTGTTTTTTCTCACATTTTTATATACGAAGTTTACAAATGTGCATATCATCAGAAATGGGATTAAATCACCTGAAATATTAAGTTTTTAATTTTTCGAAGATCTGATCTTTGACCCGTTATAGCACCTGTAATATAAGTTTTCACAAAAAAAGTTATATACCTATAAATAAGAGCAAAAGGCGGACCACGAGGGAGATTCTGTAACCAGTTAGCGANTAAATAAAACAGAAAATTACCTTTAATTTTTATATACAACCTGTTATGTAAAAATTCAAAAACCATGGTGTTTTTATATTTTTATTGCTTTATTTTTAACAGGGCTGTCGGTGAACAAGAACGAATTAATGCTTAAAACCCTATTAATTATTTGTTTTATTTATTGGTATTTTTTTTTCTTTAAGTGTTTTTTTCAAATTTTTATAAAGGGGGTTTAGTCTCCTTTACAACGATACCAATTTTTTTAGAATCGGTTAGTAATTTTTTTGTTTAAAATATTTTTTTTTATGCGAAAGAGGGTATTTTTTCATTTAAATGTGTTCTTTCTCACATTTTTATATACGAAGTATACAAATGTGCATATCATCAGAAATGGGGTTAAATCACCTGAAATATTAAGTTTTTAATTTTTCGAAGATCTGATCTTTGACCCGTTATAGCACCTGTAATATAAGTTTTCACAAAAAAAGTTATATACCTATAAATAAGAGCAAAAGGCGGACCACGAGGGAGATTCTGTAACCAGTTAGCGACAATTTTCGGATCGCTATAGCACCTTTTGACGCATGATATAAATGTTTTTGCGTCAAAAAGTGTGATACCGATCCGAAAACTGTCGCTAACTTTTTACAGAATCTCCGCCTACGTCTGTATTTCTACTTTTTACATGCAATAATCAAAAATAATTTTTTACCAAAAGTCCAAGTCGAACTTCGAAGGCCCATATCTCGATTTTGGAGGCTACCTTCGAGAAACCGAGAAATTAGTTTTTTTACTTATGACTCAAACTCCTAAAAAAAGTTGGTTTGATCAGTGTTATAAATCTGAAATTGCAAGCTCCTTTTAAGAAATATATGTTGGACTTTTTTGTGTGTAAAATTTGCTGTCGCACGATGTAATAGTTTTACAAAAGGTGCTGTTCCGATCGCGTTGGATTGTTACCGTTCCAGACTTGTATGGTTAACTCAGTTAACGCTAACAGTGGGGCGAAAAAGGTTGCTATGGACAAATCAATTTTGAGAGCCCAAATATTAACCAATTTCAAGTTTCTTTTTTTTTAATGAAAGATAATTGGCGATTTTTTAAAAAGGCTCCGGTTTTTTATTTATTTTTGTTGAAAAATGAAAGAACAAAATTTTCACTTTTTTGGAAAATACTTGAAATTAAATTCAAATGGCTGCAATTATTTAAAAAACTATTCATAAACATTTTTC